TATTATTTTTAACAATTTCTTAGTGATTTCTTCCTCAGTACTTCAACTGTCCTTTTGTTCTTTTATTTCTCTTTTCATGGATGCCATGTTCTTTGGAAGCTTGTTTAGACCAAGTGAATAGCCTTTTAGGCTTCCTCCACATGATTAGGAGTTCACTTTTTGAATAATAAGAATTATATGTCACGGGGGGGATGGGAGAGGCATCAGGATTTGAGAGATGCTTAGTGGGGCATGGCCAAAAAAGGTTGGGAACCACTGTAGTAGAGGGTGGGGATAAGAAGCAAGCAGTAGTACACCCTCCCCCATTCCCCACAGGCTGCACAGAGTTCAAAGCAAACCACCTACCTGAGCTACACCAACCACAAAAGTGTGAGCCACATTAGCGATGAAGCCATCCACATGGACCCCAAGGTCACTGAAAAGAAAGAGCAGAGTACAGCATTAGCAACTGGGATTATATAAGTGCTTAGGAAAAAGACAAGTGCTTTAAATTGATTTAAACTTACATTTTTACCAAGTCACCTTCCTTGAGAATATAGTCCTGGTCGCTCTTCAAAGGGGAGAAGTGACACACACAGTTATTTACTGAAATACTGGTGGGAAAGGCAATACCTGTAAAGAGAGAATCATCTGCCTTACTTACTTCCTTGCTCTCTTAGAGCCCTGATGCCTCAGAAAAATGGAAGGGTCTTCTTTGGGGTCTTGCCTAAGTTTAATCAGTTTGGACTGGGTAGGACACTGCTTATAACCCACTTGTCATTCCAAATTTCCAATATCTCAACCAGAGGTGGGGTGAGAGTTGCATCATTATGACAAACAAACAGGACCGAATAAGGGTCAGATGTGGGAAATTAGTGGGGGATTGATATTTTACCTTTCTTCATTTCTTTTTCTTTCTTGAAAATTTTCCCTGTCTCTTCCATAATCATGGCATCACCTTTCTCACACAGGCTCAGCACCGACACACCTGAGCAGGATGCTTCCACCAAAGACCGAAGTACCCCTGGGGACAGAATGCCACCATGTCAGTCCTGGATGTGTTGTCTAAGTTACAATCCAAGCAATACCTAGAAGTTGGATCCATAGTTTCTAATATTTCCTAGTGGCATTGCCCTAAGACTGAAAGAGGGAAGATGTTTTGCCTTTTATTTTATTTTTTGTTTTGCCTTTTATAATGTACCTACCTTTCATCTCTAAGTTTCTCCTTCCTTTCCTAAAATGAAGACATCAATGTTCCCTTCCCTTCCTTATATGACAACTGGGTATACACAATCTCTCTCCTTAGGCAAGGCAGACTTTCCAAAGATGACCCCTGTGGTGTGGTAGGGCAGCATTATGAAATTCAAGGGGATCCTCACCAAAGTATCCCACATACATGCAATGCAGACTAGAAGAAATTTATGGGAGTCAGGAACAACAGAAAAGTAGGCACAGAACTGCTGACGCAAAGCTGACGCATTGTGAAATGCTACCTTCTCCCTTCAGACGCCCCAATTAGGTGTTACTAATTCAATTTATGTAGACTTATTTCCGCAAAAACAAGTGTATAAGCCAGGGGACTTAATCTAAGGTCCCTGGGCCTCGGCAGGCTCATGGCTCACAGTTTTGGGCAAACTGCAAAGAGGTATGTGACCTAAAAGAGTTTCAAACCGGTAACTGATCACAGTGCCTCAGAAGTGCAAGAGGGGGAAAAGTTTTTCTGATTCAAACCACGAATATTATGTACAAAAACGGGGGTACTGCACTAAATGTCCATTATGTTACAAAGCATCTCCCTGGTCCATCCTGAACTTGACTGTTGTGATGATCTAAGTTCTGGTGATTCTTTGAAGCCGGAAACTCAGGTTTTCCAACATCGGACCAGAGGCGCCCTGAGTACCAACCCATACTGTCAACACCATTCAAAAGCCCAAAGACAAGCTCTCTGTCCCCTCCGACTGGGTTTTGAATGGGAAAGGTGAAACTGTAAGTAGAGAAAATAGAAAGTGAGACGTCTGCCTACCGTGGCAGGCAGCTGCCGAGAAAGTCGGAGCAGTCCTAATAAGGATGACTTCTGCGATCCTAAAAGCAGTCCCCCCCTTCCCAGCATATTCACAGGTCTGCCTGGCCGGGGTGGTCCAGCCCCTGACAACAATCTCAGCTGACGGCTAACTAGGCTGTCTGCACAAACTGCAGGCAGGAATGAGCAACTTCAAGAAAAGCCAGCTCTCCCTCCAAGAGGGGGCGAGGAGCTCCCAGGGTGCCCCCCAACGGCCCCCGGGCGGGCCCGAGCGCAGAAGGGGGTTCCCCCAAGGGAAGGAGTTGAAGTAAGGAACCAAAGACTCCGGCCAAGCACGTGGGAGGGGGGCTGGTGTCAGGGACGGCACCGGAGGAAGGCACCCGGCGGTCCGCACCGGGACCCGGCGACACGTGCCGGCGCCAGGTTGGCTCCTGACTCCGGGGGAGCCCCGACCACACAGAGGGGCCCTTCCGTCGCCAACAGCTGGCGCTTCCTCTCCCAGATGGCCTCGCCGCTGCCAGAACTACAGGAGGCAGGGATCCGGACCCAAGGGGGAGCGGAGACGCGCCCGCCCAGCCTCCTTAGCAACGGCCGAGGGTCCGCGCCGCCAGGGACCCTCCTCCGAGCCCTTGCTCGTCGCCGGCCGCACCTCCGGACTGCAGCCCAGGCCTGGACGCTCGGGTCCCCGGCGCGACAGTCCTCCTACCACGCCGCCCCCAGCGGACCGGCGCGGGGCCCTCAGCGGCTCACTCCGCACGACCCCACCGCTCCAGCCCCTCCGGGCCAGCCCAGTGCCGTCCCCCTTGCCTCCCTCAGCCTAGATCCCCGGACTCCGGAGGCCGTACTCACGGTTGGCGATGTCGCCCCCCATCTTATACTTGGTCACGACCAGGTCCTCGGCGATAGTTTGCTCCTGCTGCTCGTCCTCGCCCGACATCTTCCCGCCGCCACCACCACTGCAGCCTGGTTCCCTTGAGCCGCCGCCTGGGTCTCCCTCCCTAGCCACAAGCTGTGGCCAGAGCCCCTTCGATTCGCGAGGAGAGCGCGAGCAAAAGCGCGAGCAAGCAAGGGAGCGGGCGGGCGAGAGCGAGAAGGGGCGAGCGCGCGGGCTGCGGCGCAGGGCACGCTGGGACAACGAGTCCTTTCCGCAGCCAACCTCTAGCCGAACACCTGGACGCCTGAACTACTACTCCCAGCCTGCCTTTCGCGCCTCTACGCCAGGCCCTGGGGCCTTGCCCTACGAGGGCCTCGCACGCTGCAATCGCCGGGCACGCTGGGAAGGGTCAGGCTCCGGCGGGAAGGCGGAGCCGTTTGGGGGTTTAAGCAGCGTGGTCGGTCGCTCCCGGAAAGTCCGTACCTACCAGGAGCCTGGAGCTGGAACCTTTAATGGAGTGGGGCGGGCTGAGAAGGGGCGGAGCCACGGCGAGGAGAGGATTTGGAGGCGGAGAGGCAGGGTGGAGCCCCGATGATTGGGGCTGACTACACTCAGGGTAGAGGCTGGGCGCGCCCTTCCCCGGATACCTGGAGCATCTGGCGGGACCTGCCCTGCCGGTACCTTGGTCCTGCGACGCCGGGAGGATCGGGAGGGGCGGAGGGGTGTGGAAGGAGACCCAGGGTTAGGGAGTGACTGGACCGCGACTCTGAAAACATCCATTCACAGCCTCCCGGTCTAGAGGCCGGACTCCCACTGAAGATGGCACTGCTGTTCCAGCAACAGGGTTGATGGCGCCTAAGCGAAGTGCTCGGGAGGCTTTTTTACGAGAGGAAGTTCTCAGCCCTAGAGCGTCCAGGATAGAGCGTCGGCCTGGATTCCGGTTTAGGGCACAGGCCCGGTTGCGGGCTCCATCCCCAGTAGGGGGCGTGCAGGAGGCAGCCGATCTGATTCTCATCATTGATGTTTCTATCCCTCTCCCTCTTTCTGAAATCAATAAAAATATACTTAAAACAAAAAGAGTAAGTACTCGCCCTAACCAGTTTGGCTCTGGATAGAGGGTCGGCCTGCGGACTCAAGGGTCCCGGGTTCGATTCCGGTCAAGGGCATGTGCCTTGGTGGCGGGTACATGCCCAGTGGGACATGTGCAGGAGGCAGCTGATCGATGTTTCTCTCTAGTCGCCCTCTCCCTTCCTCTCTGTAAATAAATTTTTTTTTTTAAAGAGTAAGTACTCAAACATGGAAGTTTCAGCATTTCACCTCTTGAGGGAGTATATCTATAGGGCTTTTTCTAACTTCCCCAAACTTTTTCATTCCCAGTTGATTGCCTGTAGATGCCTCATTAAACCTTTAAATGAAAAGGACTGTGCTATGGTTCTCTCCTTTTAAATTTTTTTAAAATACTTTTTAAAAATATCTATTTTTTATTGATTTCAGAGAAGAAGGGAGAGAGAAAGGGAATCCCTGATGGGCTGCCTCCTGCACACCCCGGCGATCCCTCAGGCGATCCCTCAACCGGCTGCAACCGCGCATGTGCCTTGAGAGGGGAATCCAACGGTGACCTCACGGTTCAAAGGTCGATGCTCAACCAGTGAGCCATGCTGGCCGGGCTTTTTAAATTTTTCATTTTTAGAGGATGTTTATTAAAGCTGGGGACAGTGAAACAAGGAAGGGCCTAAGAGAAGCAACAGAAAAGAGACTAGGTGGGGAAATGAGCCTAGGCTGGGCTGCTTGGCTCACTAAGAAGTCAGAGAAAAGGGGGCCTGAGGACTGGGGTGAGGGGTTAGCTGAGGGTGAACTGCTGCTGCCAATTGTTGCCCTGACTGCAAGTCTCTGGGATCCCTCAGAGTTTAGGAAATGGGTGCCTGATGGGGGAGGAAAGGTGCAGGCATGCTCCTGGGAGGGAGAGCATGCTAAGGGGATGCAAGGAAAAGCAGGGTTGGAGAAAGCTGCATGGAACAGAGTAGGACCGTCGGAAAACAAAGCAGGAAAAAAAGGTAGCTATGTTCTGCTGAGGAGCAAAGGGATGGTCTACCTTACTGAAGATTTCCTTCATTTGACAGACAGAAAGCTGAAAAACTTTGGCATCTTTATTCAGACACGTATAAAAACAAAACAAAAAACTTCAGTGATAGAACAAATATCCCCATTTCCCACCCAATGGGAGAGGTCTGAAGGTGGATCCTCTTTCTATCCCAATCAGAAGCTCCCCATTATTGGGTGAGAACACTTCTAAAAGTGGCTCTTGGGACCCTTGTGAAATCTGTCCCTTGGGTAAGAAGTGGAGATCCTTTACAGCACATGTAAGTTATGGTTTACACAAAAATGTCCAGTTACATTTCCTTCTGACCACCCCCTGCCTGAGATGAGAAGTCTGGGTGTAGGAGGCTGTGGTTGTCGGGGTTAGACTTAATTCAGTGCAAAAACAAGAAGACAATGCCCCTTATATGGGCTCTGGTTTGTGCCTGTTTTCCTTGATACCTTACAGTAAGAGCACACACATCTGGGAAGATTTTGAATCCTGGACCTGCCATGTAATCTCTCTTAAGGCTCAGTTCCTTATTTGTGAGGAACTATGAACTAGTTCACAGAATCGGTATATGGATTGAGAAAATGCAGGTCAAGTTTAGCACACTGTCTGGCACAAAAATAAATGCTCAATTAACAGCAATCATGAATACCTACTCCTGAACTTCCTTCACATGATTTAAAATTTCCCATTCTTTCCAGGGGCTTGCTCATAGCCAAAATTTTACTTTCCCCTGCCAGGTTTGGCCCTTTTTCTTTGCCTTAGGAGTCTGATGGGAAACAAAAGCACACTTTAAAGCCTAGTCCCAACAAGTTAGAGTCTGAGAGAAAGGGACATGATACTGGAGTCATCAAATGGGTACGGGATGTAAGGGAGTAATCCTTCATATCTCCAGGGAGTTCCCCTGAGAAAGTTGGAGGAATGGGATTGGGAAAGCACACAAAACAGGGGAAACCTTCTACTTCCCGGGGATTGGGAAAGTGAAGAAAGTGCACAGCCAGCTACATGCCACAAGAACTTTGTCCGAGTGTTTCAAAGCCTCCAAAGGTTGGATGGAATTGTCTAGACCGGAGGGGAAATGGGACTGAGACCTGTGAGGGAGGGATGGGGACTTGGGAGAAGAGGGGTACCCTCTAGAGGCACTAGCTGCCATCAACTGCTCCCGGAGTACCTCAGGGAGCAGGGGTTATGTTCTCTGGGCATTAGCCTTGGGGAAAAGCCTGCTATGCCAGTAATCCGGGTTGTCAAAGGCAGAGTCGGTGGCTTCTAAGCTGCGTAGAGTTTTGAGGCGGGTATAATGGACTTGGGGAGCATGGTGTCCAGGCCCCTGGAAGGCTTTCATCTCTTCATACCCTTGTTCAGCTGCTGGGCAGGCCCCCATGGCTGCATAATCCCCCCCAGCACCTCCTCCTCCACGTCGCTTATTCATATATTCATAGTCCTCGTCAGGAGTTGTGCCAGGAGTAGGTATGATGGGCACAGGGTGGAGTGGGCAACTCTGTGTGCTGCCCAGGGAAGCACTGAGGTCTGATCCCACATCCATGTACTCATAACCCAGCTCCTCGAGGGAACCTGGCCTTGGGGGACGAGGTGGACTGTGCCTTCTCCTCCGGTTCATGTATTCATACTCCTCATCTTCATCTTCTTCTTCGGTGCCCAGGACAGAACTGAGACCCACAGAAGAAAGGGTGCCTTCCCGAGAGGATGGAGTACCTAGGGGTGGAGAAGAGAGGCTAGCTATGTGGAGACATTCACAGTAATTAATAGGCAGTAGGGAGAGGAAAGAGTCAGGCTGGGTGGGGGGAGGGGGGAGGGCGGGTGTGAGGAATCAGGTACCTTTGAGGTGTGCATCTGGCATGACATAACCATTCACATCCTCTTCCTCTAACCCTGGTGGGGAGAGTGGGGTGACAGGAGTAAGCAGGCTATGGCGCTGGGAATGGTAGGCACTGTCTCCACGTGGCCGCGGGCTCCGGCTCCGGCTTCTACACATGGACACCTTCTCCTGGAGCTCAGCTTCAGAGCCTGTCACGTGGCCCTCAGATGACTCTGATACCAGGCGTCCCCGTGGCATTGGGTGCAGAGAGGCTGGACGGGGGCACCGTTCACCCCCACAAACTATAGGCTCCTAAGGAAGACAAAAATACACAGATTTACACAGCGATGAAGAAAGGAGATTGGGTAGTTCAATGCCTTCTTTTTTTGTAGGACACTGATGAAACCTCAAAGATTTCTACGATCTCCCACACCACCCCTATCATCCTAAGACATTCTGCTACCCAGCATCTCAGCAGCCCCTGAAAGAGACAGACCTTACCTGGCAAGCTTCCCCAAGATTACTCTGGTTCATAGGCATATATCCAGATGATGGACTTGTAAGGCTCTGGCTCTAGGATGAAAACAGAGGTTTGGACAAAGGGAGACATCTCATCACGGGTCCTTTGAGTAGTTAATCTGAGTATCTGTGGGGTTTACGAGGGTGCAGGTGTGCAGAGTGCTCAGGGAGCAGAAAGCCCTGGGTAACTGAAGCGCCTTACCCCACGTGGCCAAGTAAGCGTTCCAACTGGCAGGCTGAGGGCAGAGCCTAGGGTTGTCGCCAGGTTGTCCTCCTCTGCCTCCAAGTCCAGGTCTAGGTCTAGTTCTGGCTCCAGCTCTACTTCCTCCAGTTCCTTGTTTGTCAGAGCAGGTGGCTCCGCCCCAGGGGGAATTCCAGGTCCACTCTCTCTCTATAGGGGCAGGTGATTGGTAAGGTAGATCCAGGTTCCAGCCAAATCCCCTTTGCTCTAAATCTCCTTGACACCTACTCACCTTTATGACCAGATACCGCGGTGGGTCTCGGGCCATCCTGGTGAACTCATTGGCTAGTTCTTTAAAGGTTGGGCGAATGTTCTCATCAATCATCCAACCTGGGGGTAAGATGTGGGAAATAGAGTCATGGGAGGAGAAGGGAGTAGGAAGGGAAGCTGGTTAGCAAACGGCTGGCGCCATCAGGTAACTCACACTTGACCATGACCATGTAGACATCAATGGTACAGATCTGGGGCTGTGCCAACCGCTCCCCCTTCTCCAGCAGGTCTGGTACTTCAGCCAACCGCAGCCCTGCATAGGGCTCTGCCCCAAAAGTCATCAGCTCCCAAACCGTCACACCTGGCACAGGAAGACATGACTGGTTGATGGCAAAATAGTGGCAATGGGCATGAAGATGAAGGGAAGGCATGACAATCTGACTCAAGGATCTGCAGGGCTGGAAGATTCTAAGAGGGGGTCTCAAAAGGCAACTGTGGGATTTGGGCCATGCAGACGGACTGACCGTAGCTCCAGACGTCACTCTGGTGTGTGTATTTCCCAAAGTGGATACTCTCGAGGGCCATCCACTTAATTGGAGTCTGGGGGATTAAAGGCAAAGGTGTCACCAATTATTTTCACAAATTACCTTAGCATTTCTAAACCCCAAATTCTCTACATTCTTCTCTTTGTTGCTGTCTCAACTTATATTTCTGGCATCTTCAGGTTCCCCTCCCTAAACTTATCCTACTGCATCTGCTTCCTTCTGGAAGAGACCACTGGCTGCTCCCCATCTCCCTGCTTCACTCCAACCCCACCTCCTCACCAGCCCTTTGTGTCGCCTACCTTGGCCTCACTGTGTAGTAGCTGTTTATCATCAGGGGGCAGCAGGTCAGCCACCCCAAAATCTGCCACCTGGACCTGACTGGTTGACTTGAGTAGCACATTTCGGGCAGCCAAGTTCCTATGAACCATACCATGCTCCTCAAGGTAGTACATACCCTACAGGAGAAGGAAATATTCTCAGGATTGGGGGATCCATCATTGAGATCCAGAACCACCCCAAACCCTAAAGGTACCACTCAGAACTCCACCCTCCCTGCCTCCTCCCTGCTGGCCCCCAGCCAGGCAGTCCCATCATAGAAACTCCTCCCGGCTCCTCTCACCTTGGCAATTTGTACTCCCCAATTGAGCAGCAACTGTGGCCCCAGGGACCCCCGGTGCTGTCTCACATGATCCAGCAGGGATCCCAGAGGCAAGTATTGAGTGACAAGCTGCAGAGATGACCCTGGGCACAGTCCCAGCAGCCGTACAATGTGAGCGTGGTCTAGGCTGCCAATGGCCAGCATATGCTGAGGGACACGGAGAAGAGGGGTTATCCAAGGAACAAACAGGTTCACGTACTAGGATACCCAGGCCAGGGGCTCCCCAACATTCCAGTGCATCAACATGGCTCACAGTAGCTGCTGACACAGGACCATGCTTCTGCACAATTGTAACATTGACCTCTTTCCTAGTGGAATACAGAAAACCCTTCCTTCACTTACATCCGTCACAGCTTGAAAACTTTGCCGTCCACTCTTATCCTCAATGACTTTAATGCAGACTGGGATCTTTATTGATTCGCCCTCAGGAATCCACACGCCCTGGGAAGTTTTAAACAGGAGTGAGCCTAAGGCGGTTCTCCCCCCGCCAGCCCTTTCCCCACCTCCCCGGACTTTTACTTCCTGTGGGCCACTCACCTTGTGCACGGTTCCAAAGACGCCTGAGCCAAGTACTTTAAGCTTCCTCAGCTCTGTCTCCTTGAAGACTCTCGCCAAGACTTTGTTAGCCTTCTCACTGGGATCCAGAGGCTCTATGCTCTGGGGAGCAGGTGGGAAGGAGGCACTCAGGAAAGCCCACTCCCACGACCCCCTCTGACTCCCTCCTCCTGCGTGGCTGCCAAGAGCAGCAGGGCCCAAAGGGTGGGAGCAGGAAGAGGAGTTGTCTTTAGTCTTCAAAAGCATTGTAGGCATATCAGGGAATAACAGACCCCAAGACAGAGGAAGTTATTTGTGATCATGAGATTAGGAATCGAGAGGGTGGGTTTCCCCTTTGATGGAAGAAAGGAGTTGGTAATCCTATCCCTTGAGTACTTTTATTCAGGTCTCTATGTTTTCAAAGCACTTTCACTTAGATCATCACTTTCACCATTACAGCCATCATATAAGGATGGATGTTACTATCTCCTCTGTATACAGTCATAAACTGAGGCACAGAAGGAAAGTAACTTCTTCAGAGTCATGCGGCAAATTAATGGCAAAATTAGGGAGAAAGCATGTCTCCCAATTCTCTGGTCAGAGTTATTTCTAGGGATCAAATACCGGGGGAGGAGGAGGCTCTAAAACAGGGCACTTTTCTAGAGTAAGCTACACACTCACCTCACCCCGTTCCAAGTAGCGCCTCATAGCCCTCTTATTCTGAATCCGACGCCCACGCAAATAGAGGATAGTGCTGCCCAGGATGACGAAAATCACTAGCAATCCTACTACCACTGTCAAAGCCATCGCCAAGTGCGTTTTGCTGTGGGGTAGAGAAACCTGGCATTACCCTCGGTCCACACCTCCCTTACAATGTCATCTGTACCTGTCCTAAAAGGTATGCTGCAGACCTGGGGCAAGCAGTCAACATTCACAAACATACCCTTGAGCACTAAAGAGTTAACCTAAATCTGGACCTTCCGAGGCTACTGTGAGTTAATTTTAGAAAGGAAAGGCCAGAAGTCTGGATTCTTGTGCCCTGAGTCCAGTGATAGTGAACTGTATATAGAAGGCCAGAAAGGGTAGACTCAACTCTTCCCAGCAGATAACCGCCCTCTCCCTCGCTTCTCTCCCGAATACCCCCAGCTCCCTAAGTCTCCAAGCCCATCATACCTGATCATCGCCTGTGTTTGGCCTAAACAGTCCTGCAGGTCAGGCCCATTACACCTAGAGAAGAAAGTCACCTCCTTAAGTGGGAACTGGAGAATCCCATGGGACGCTCCATTGCACCAGCGACAGCATTGTTTCAGACCCTACCATGGCGTCCCATCCTGGAGCCCCAGCACATCCCAAGACATGGGCTCCGTCCCTAGCAGGCCCACCCTCCCCGAGTTATGTTTATTCCAGGTCCCCAAAATTGTGGTGTAATTTTGTGCTGTTATTGAGTATCCCTTCCTCCAACCCTTCACTATACAGCTGGGAGTCATTCTTAAATCACAGTTCCTTTCTTCTTTCTCCTCCCTGCACCCTCCTCTCTCCCCCTCGTCTGTACTCCCTCTCCCCTGACCCCCTCTTCTTAACATCCCATCACTGACCCCCGGGTGCAGTTCTCATGGCAGGGCCGACATTCATTCTGAGCATCTGGGAACTTGTAGATGGGGCCCTTGGCACCCAGCACTCCAGAGGGGCAGCTGCTCACACAGTGGGGCCCATCTCGAAAATGGGCACACTGGGCACAAGCATCAGAGCCCTGGGTGGAGAAGAAAAGGTCAGGAAAAATGGGATTCCAGGGCCAATTCCGTATCTCCTAACAGGGACCAACCCAGCCACTCAGGATCCTCCTTCCACAAACCCTAGCATTGTCTGGCCTCCCTGTGCCGGCCTGGAGGCTGGGCCATATCATTCCCTAGATTCTCCAGTGTGGCCTGCCCTCTCCCCGAGACCCTGGTGCCGCTACTGTACCGAGCCATTGCATGTGGCAGTGCCCTCCATGGGCTGGCATTCCGGGTGGCAGGGGAAGCATTCAGCCTCGTGGGCAAACTCACGAGGCTCCCTGCAGTGAGGAAGGGGGGTAGAGATTGGGGCGGTCACTCGGAATAGCCCTATCCCAGGGCCCCATCCCTCCACCCCTTCTTTTTTTAAAACATATATTTTTATTGATTTCAGAGAGGAAGGAAGAGGGAGAGAGACAGAAACATCAATGATGAGAGAGAATCATTGATCGGCTGCCTCCTGCACGCCCCCTACTGGGTATCGAGCCCACAACCCCGGCATGTGCCCTTGACTGGAATCGAACCTGGGACCCTTCAGTCCACAGGCCAACGCTCTATCCACTGAGCCAAAGCAGCTAGGGCCCTCCACCCCTAATTGACTCCATCCCTCCTGTCCGTACCCATTTAGAAAGTTGCAGTGGGTCACACAGACACCTCCTCGGCTGTAGTTTCGACAGGATAGGCACTGCCCAGGGCCTGGGCCCCAGCATCCCCCAGAGCAGAGTGGGTCACACACCTTGCCCTCTGCCACTGGAAAGGAAGGGGTGGGTCAGGAGGAGTCTGAGGTCTCCCCTCGGACCCTCCCCTGAATACTTCCTCCTTACTGCTTCCAGCCCAACATCCCTCTCTCCTTGGCTCCACCCCCGGCCCCCCATCCCTACTTCCCTACTCCCACTTCCAGGGCAGAACAGTCCTTCCACCCCTCTCCCAACTCCCTCTTCCCACCTCCCAGCGGGCCTCTCCCTCACCGCAGTCTCTGCGGAGCCGGTTATGCTTGATGTCTAGTCTCTCTTCAGAAGGCCCTCGAAGCAGCCTGGTCCAGTTAAGAGAATGGTGGTAGCAGAGCTGCCGATTGGCACTTATGTAGATACGCCCAGCACTTATTTCTTTCAAGGATCGGAAGCCCAGAGATGTTATGTTCAAGTTCTTCATGATCAACAATGAGAAGCCCCGGCTGAGAACAAGGAGACGGGATGAGAGGGGAAACGACAAAAGGAAAATGTACCACTGTCATTTCCGTGCAACAACCTGCTCTGAGCTACGAGACACACTGAAAGGGACTCCTCCCTCCTTCTGCCTTTTCTGCATCAAACTCTCAGACCCTTTGGGGCTGCCGTCTGAGAAAATGCCTTCCTTGATTTTCACTCACAGATGCCTAAGAAGCAGAGTTCATTACCTGGAGATGCTATCACCTCCACACTCTTACTCACTTGTAGAGGCTTCTGCCCCCGATGGTCGTCAGGTTGGAAAAGACACTAAAGTTGTGCATGTGGGGAGGCCAGGACTGAATGTTCAGGTAGCCTGGGGGGTTGGAGAGAGGTATATGAACAGGAGCCTTCTTCTCTCCCTCTTTCTCAGGTTCTCCTGGTCCCTCCCCTGTTGCTTGAAACTTGATTTTTCTCAAGTGGTTACACTACAATTTGTGCCAATGGTTGATCTTTTCTTCTCAGAAAGGGTAGCTTCTCCACTCACCAGTGATCTCCCGTACTGTCCGGAAGACATTGAGCTTCTCAGGGTCCAAGGCAGGGATCTTGTGCCAAGGGTCTCTGAAGAGAACAGTAAAAAACAGTCAACAAGGTAGCGGTATAGGCCATCGGCAATGAGCGCCTAACTTCAGAACTTAGTTTCTAAATACCATCTCCATTGAAAGGACAGAGCTCCTTAGATAGATAGCTGGGGCAGGAGAAATACAACAGGAACCTACAGCATCTTTTTTTTTTTTAATTGATTTTTAGAGAGAGGAAGGAAGAGAAAGAGAGAAACGTCAATGTGAGAGCGAAACATCACATCGCTCAGTTGCCTCTTGCACATGACCAGGAATCCAACCTGCAGCCTGGGAATTGAACCCGCCACAACCCAACATTCCAACCAATTGAACCACACCGGCCGGTGCAAGCCTACAGCATCTTATAATGAGGGGTCCAAGCCCAAAGAACACAGGAACCAACTTGAAGGGGCCCCCAGAAACCCTACTAGAGACAACTGGACACCAAAATAATGATTGTAAAAGATTATAAACCATTGAATAGAACAAATACCCACACTGACTAGATAGATCAATAGATAGATAGGTAGGAAGGGAAGACTCTTCCTAACACTAGAATGCCAACAAATAAATGCAGAAGGAATAATGGAATTAGAAAATAATTATCTAGCAATTCTCATTATAAAATTAATTCAGGCAAAATCTCCCCACAAGATACTTATTAAGCCCTGGACGGTTCTGCTCAGTGGTTACAGTGTCAGCCTACGAACCGAAGGGTCTCAGGTTCGATTCCCGGCCCACTTTGGGGGCGTGTGGAAGGCAACCAATCAATGTGTTTCTCTCACATCAATGTCTCTCTCTCTCCCCCTCCTAAAAAATCAATGGAGAAAATATTGTCGTGTAAGGATTAACAACAACAACAACAAACATGCCTGGCAGCAGTGGCCCAGTGGTTAGGCATCGACCTATGAACAAGGGGGTCACAGATCAATTCCCAGTCAGGGCACAAGTCTGGGTTTCGGACTCGATCCCCCTGATTGTGCAGGAGGTATCAATGACGATTCTCTCTCATCATTGATGTTTCTATCTCTCCCACCCTCTCTCTCCCTTCCTCTCTGAAATTATATATATATATATCTATATCTATCTATCTATCTATCTATATATATATATATATATAGATAGATAGATATAGATAGATAGATATAGATATATAGATATAGATATATATATACACACTAGAGGCCTGTTGCACGAAGAGATCCGTGCAATAGGCCTTCCTTTTCCCTGGCTGCTGCTGGCACTGGTTTTCCTCCAGCACCTGGGGCCCAGGCCTTCGCTCTGGCCAAGTTCTGGCCGGAGCCGGCCCCGGAAACGTCAGGCCATATATATATATATATATATATATATATATATATAAAAAGCATAACTTGGCCCTATCCGATTTGACTCAATGGATAGACCGTCAGTCTGTGGACTGAAGGGTCCCGGGTTTGATTCCAGTCAAGGGCACATGCCCAGGTTGCGGGCTTGATCCCCAGTAGGGGGTGTACAGGAGGCAGCTAATCAATGATTCTCTCTCATCATTGATGTTTCAATCTCTCCCTCCCTCTCCCTTTCTCTCTCTGAAATCAGTAAAAAAATACTTTTTAAAAAAAGCATAACTTGAACAGGAATGTAAAGTACAGCAAAATTTTGCAATATAGTCATAATACTGCAATATGTATGGTGCCAGGTGGGCACTGAAAATATCAGGGGACACTATGTAAAGTGTATGATTGTCTAGCCACTATGCTGCACACCTGAAACCAATGCAAAATAATACTGAGAGTAAACTGTAATTGAAAATTTTAAATAATAAACTTAAAAAAAATTTTTTTTAAAATATATTTATATTGGTTTCAGAGAGGAAGAGAGAGGGAGAGATAGAAACATCCATGATGGGAAAGAATCACGGATCGGCTGCCTCCTGCATGCCCCACACTGGGGATCGAGCCATGACGTCCTGGTTCATAGGTTGACGCTCAACCACTGAGCTGCGCCGGACAGGCGATAAACTTTTTTTTTTTTTTTAAAGCATAACTTAGAGACTCTAAGTATGAGGAACCATCACAAAATCCAAACCGAGGAAGGTTCGACCTGTTACCTGACCTGTACTCATCAATAATGTCAATGTCATGAACTGTTATAGATTAAAGAAGACTGAAGAGATATAACAACTGAATACAATGTGTGATCCAGGACATTGTGAGACAGAGTGAAATGTGTGTGTGTAGAAAGAAAGAGAAATAATAAAGCATCTATATATATAAAAGCCTAAGCAACCATAACTACCGGTCGACCAGTAGCTATGACATGCACTGACCACCAGGGGACAGACACTCAATGCAGGAGCTGCCCCCTGGTGATCAGTGCACTCCCACAGCCAACCTCCCATGGCCAGCCAACCTACCTTGGCCCCCGCCACCCCCCACCCCCATCCCTCCAGCCCCATCCAGCAACCAGCAGGCCCCCAGGTCCCTGGCCAGCAGCCAGCAGGCCCCAGGTGGCTTGGCCCCGATTGGGACTGGGCGAGACAACCCTGATAAGACCTAATCACCAGCCAGGCCTAGGGACCCCAGGCCTCTAGTACGGTATAATGTTAACATTTGGGGGATCTGAATAGGGGGATCTGAACAAAGAGTGTATAGGAAATCCTAATACCATTTTTGCAACTTTAGTGTAGATCTAAAATTCTGTCAAAACAAAATAAGAAAACAGGTGGCTGTAATGTTACACACACACATATACACACACACTTTAAACGGATCAGAAAGTCCCTTTGCTCTCTGTGGCTCTTCTCTAAGGAGCAGAACTAGGGGAAATAGCTGGCAGATTTTTATCTAAACTTAAGAAAACTTTAAGGAGGACACAATGTTCCTGTCCCTTGCCATTCAGCTGGGTGATGTCAGACTGCTTAGGGATATGTCTGAGGGGGCTCACGCCCTAGTGGAGGTTGAGTTAAGCACTGTCAGTTCCTTTGTGATTTCTAAGATTTTATGATTTAGTTTCCTAATCAGCTTCACATATGAAGCGTGAAGCCGATGCAATGAACTGTGAGGGGATGTATGGGGTGGGGGTACAGGAAGAGAAGGCAGAATCTCTAACCCATTGAGGCCAGTGATGAGAAAGTCCAGGTTGCCCAGGATCTTGGTGCAGTTCACAAATCCATCAATGTTGCTCGAGTCCACAGTCTGGTATCGGCTCCCCGAGCCGGTCCCCTCACAAGCTGCAAACAAAAAAAGAGGCTCAGCGAGGGTTGAGGGAGAGGGTCGAGTAGTCTCAGGGCAAAGGATGTCTTTTCACCAACTTCCTTACCTTTGGGGCACAGCCCCCCACAAGGTTCACATATCTTGAGTCCGTTTTTATCCACTTCCATCTTGTCAGGAGGACAGGCCCTGACACACGACGTCTGATCCACCACGAAGTTGTCTAGGGAAAAGGAGGGCACCCACGGAGGTGAGGGAGGAGCACGGCCGCTCCCGCCTGAACCTTGCTCCCTCCTGCTCTGCGCTGGATCTGCCCCAACCCACCGCCCGAGGCTCCTTAGTGCCGTCCTATGGATCAGGAAGGCCCTTTGCTCTGGGTTGTTCCAAGGAGCAGAGCTCGGTGCAATTGCTGGGAGACACAGGGAAGGTCACGAGAGGCTGGGACATAGGGGTCATTCCCTGGGGCTGGTGGATGATCACAACCGTTTGCCCTCGAAGGCCCCTACTCACCACCCAACTCGATCCCTTTTGCCTCCTACAATTTAGTCTAAACTACGGGTTCCATTATCACTGTTTCTTCCTTTCAGATACTCACGGGGACAGCTGGCTACACAAACTCCTCCATACTGATACTTGGTGTGAGGATTGGGTTCCAGCTGGAAAGTCAGCTTGTTGTAGACAAGAGGCTGTGGACACTGGCGTACACAGGCTCCACTGTCATTGAAGAGCCGGCAGGCCTAGGCACACAGGAGACTCAGAAAACTCGTGCTGCATTAGGTCCCCCTCCTCCCCCCAACAGAGCCCACATGGCCACCCCAGAACCCAGGCAAATGGTGCTAACAGTACGTACAAAGCAGTCGGTGTCCTGAGGGCCTGAGCAGCCCCCTGCACACTCATCATGGCAGCACTGGTTGGGGTCGGGCCCGAAGCAGTGACCATTACACTGAGGCGCACAGATGGTCTTGGTCACTAGGGAAGGAGAGGAAGCTTGGCTGTCAGGGTTCTCAGCCCTGCGTTCTGAGGCCCCTGCTCACCCTCTTGCCCTCCAGGCTCATCCCTACCCACCACGGTGGCCCAGGCTGGGGAGGGCAGGGATACGAACGGGAATGAATGTAAGGATTTGAGAGGGAAGTAAACGCACATGTCTGGCAGTCTTTTGGTCCGGGACCCCAGCATCGCCCCTTGCAGACCTCATGACACGGCTCACCTAGTCGGGAGGGAAAGCAACACAAGAGGCCATCAAGGGTGAGAGAAAGACTTGCCTGAATCAACAGGGAATGACGTCAGCACACAGGCACCTGAGCCCCAGGAAGCAAAGAGCCAGGCAGCGCCCCTCCTTGCCCATGCAGAGCAGGGTGGGGCTCAAGCAAACCTGTCAACAAGGGGTGGAGCCACGCCTCCACCTCGCCCACAGGGCAGCTAAAGGGGAGGGTCTGGGGCACATGCCAAGCTCAGCCCCAGGCCCAACCCCGGCACTTGGTTCCTTCTTGGCAAACTGAGCCCAGTAGGATTGCACGCGTGTGAGTGGACAGGCAGGAGCAGACTGCGGTCAGGGGTAGGTAGGTTCTGAGGAAAGGGGAGGTGGTTGTTGTGGAAAGCGAAATGGATGGAGTCCAAAGATCTGGCTTCCCCACTTAGTGCAGAGTCTTTGGCCCCTTTTCTTGACATACTGCTTCTGCGGTTTGGATTCCCGGGGACTGCCCTGCTCCCTCCTGGCAGGCTCCTCGGGTCTAGGGCCTGGGGTGTTTGCTCAGTGGAGAGGAGGGTTCAGATTAGGGTTGACGATGACGGGAAAGGAGTCACTCTGGTTTGGGGGGGACAGGAGAGCAATCTTGATCAGGGCCACTCACAGCTCCTGCCATTGTCCTTCACCACGATCTCGGCGTCTCGGTCCCTCACGATGTCCCTCCAGTCAATGGTGTCCATGTGACAGAGCTTATCATTCTTCTCAATATACACGCCCCCTGACAGAATCTCTGAGACAGAGAAGCGACAGGGTTAAGGGCTGCAGCAGGCCTCCTCCCCTTAACCTCCCCACTTCCAAATGCCCCCCCCGCCGTCCCCCCTAATCTCAGGAGCAGGGGAAATGGGGCAGACAGACATATCCAACTAAATCCAAAATGCAGAGAAGGCTGGCCTGGGGAGGCAGAGGAGGAGCCAGGCTGAAAGAAACCCCCGCCTCCTCAGACACCTGTCCAGATCCGGTTTAGCCAGTGGGGGAGGGGAAGGAAAAGGAGTGAAGATTCCTGACTCAACACCCCACCCCCTTCCCCTGCCCTACCTGTGTGTTTTTCAACTGACTGGGACAGGGAGAAGTAGAAGGCTGCCAGGTGGTACTTAACCCCTATATTCCTCCAGCGTGTGGGGAACTGTGAGGGGGGAGGTAGGATTCTAATTCCTGGGGAAGGAGGCATCTCAGGGTACACTGTACTTTGAAGTTAGAGGAATGTGGCTCACAGATCCAGCTCCAGTTGCAGCCCCACCAGGACATAAGGAGCCTCCCCCTGGGCAGAGGCCACCAGCTACCGATTGGAGCCCTAAAGGACTGGTGGCCTTTCAGATGAGTGGTCAGAGTGGGCGGCACCTTGGGAGGGGCACTTGAGAGTGAGCAGTCCTGGACTGTCCCCAAGGAGGCAGCTGCCAGCGGCAGGCTGAGGGGCAAGACCAGGAATCACCAAGAACTGACCTGTGAGCTGGGTGAAGCCGAGCTGGCGCAGAGCGTGGCTGGAGTTGGTGTTGTAGTTCAACATGACGAAGATGGCAAACTTCCCGTCGTACACCTGGGTGCCCCGCACCACGCGGAGGTTGGGCAGGGGCAGCGTGGAGAACTCGTTCATGGCCACAAGGACATAGCCGGTCACTTCTCGAATCCACTGTGATGGAGCCGATGGTGTCAGGGAGACATGAGACATACGAAACGTCTCAATCCCCTCTCCCTCCATGAGGCCTTCAGGGACCCCTCACTCCTCCAATCCCTTCTGCCAGTGAGAAGAGGCAACAGAAATGATGGAGGGATTCTGGTCTCCCTCCCTTTCCTTCTCAGAGCTCCTCACGCCAGGAGGGTCCTTGCTTGGTTCCTTACCCACTTCCCCTGGTGCCTCTCGGTCCTCAGGTGTTTCTCTACATCAGTCCCAGCGTAGAACGCCACCCCGCCCCTGCCCCTGCCCCTCTCTCGGGCAGCCCTGGTGTATCCCTGGTTACAGAGGCCAAACCAGAGGTCCCAGAGTCCAGTCACTGTCCCCATAGACACACAAATTTGGATCTTAGGGACTTTCGGGTCTTAGAAAGGCTCACCTCCAGCAGAGGGTGGCCCTGAGGAAGGGACGGTGTCTGTGGGGAGAAGGGGGACAGGTGGAGGGAGTCGGGCACTCTAACCTGCAGGAAGGAGAGGTCAGCGTTGTGTCCTGTGAGCACAATCTCCAGGTTCCCCATCACCACCTCACACCTCTCGTACTGCTTGTGCAGCGTCTGGTATTGGTTCTCAGCATCGCCGGTCACACTCAGACCATTCAAAGTCCCGGGACACACTGTTCAAAGTGGAGCAGCAGGAGTGGCAGAGGGCTGGACACAAGTTTTCAGCCCCGTCCCCCGAGCCCACCCTCTGGGTCGCCCTTTCCCGGTGATATTCAACAGGATCAGGGGGCTGCCTCCACCCCTCACCCCTTCAGATAGACACGAAGGCCTTTGTTGTTAGTCTGAGAGCCTGAACTTTCTTTTCTCAGAACCCCCCTCACCATTCCCCTGAACAGGAAGGTGAAAAGGTTTCCGTTTTCCACCAGACCTCCTCGGTGCCTCTTTCGGTTCCTAGGGGGTTAATCAAGGAGGATGTAGGGCTTTCCCCCCTCCCTGGACAGAAGTTAGAAAAGGACACAACTTGGTCACCCTCCTCCTCTTCCCCTCCCCCTCCATCCTCTACCCCCGTCCTGCCTCTAAGTCCTGGAATAAATATCTCTTTGGGGCTAGCACACAGCCCCTATTGTGTCTACCGAGGGTGGGATGGGGGCAGTGCCTGGGGCCACAGTCCAGCCCACAATGAGGCGATTCTATATAGGAGGAGGGGGCTGCCCCACCCTGTCCCCAGACACCCTGTCCTCGGCAGCACCCCCTCCACCCTCAAGTCTTGGGCTCAGACAAGTGATCTCACTAGAGGGGGGAGCTCTGGGGCTGGTGGTGGGGTCAATGTGAGCTTTGTCTTTAAAGCTGCAAGATAAGGAGCTGGTTGCCTACCCTGCAACCCCCTTCCTAAACTCTGGCTTCCTTCGCACTTCCTTCTCCTGTCCCAACACACTCCAGCCCCCTCAGCATCACTGTCCAGCCTAGAGTGTTTTCCAGAAAATGCAGAGGCCTGGAGGGAAACAGCAGCGGACTCCCGCCACACTAAGCCAGTTTTATTGTCAAAAGATCCATTCAAAAGCCTTCCAACATGGCAACCGCACTGACACGAGGTAGAGCCTAGACTCGAGGTCCATGAGGCCTGTTGGCCTTGCAGGACCTAGAAGCTACAGGAAATCTTGACCCTGAATCCCTATTCCTATCTCTTTCCTCTGGTTCCTGAAAGAGGGGGAGGGGTGGAGTGGGGGTGAAGAGATACCACCTGTTCTAACCACCCTTCCCTGAGGCGGTGGCAGCTTTAGTGGGAAGCAGGAGCAGGAAAGGAGGGAGGGTGGGGAGTTGGTGAGGCCCCAACTCCTCCTCCTAGAGACACCCTTACTCTGACCACTTGACCTTTGAGGGCACCCATTCCCTCTAACTCTCCACAAAGGGAAGGGGACAGACTGGCAGCTCCCAGAAGAGCCTGGGAACTCCAGGGTCCTTGGGCTGAGAAGAAATAGACTAGGAAGGTTAGTCACTTCTGGAACAGCCCCACCCCAACCCCCTTCCTGGCAGGACACCCCCTCTTCCAAGTCAAGGCGCCAACCCTTCTCTCTAGATAAGGGAGGAGCCAAGATTACTGCACAGGTGTGTGTGTGTGTGTGTGTGTGTGTGTGTGTGTGTGTGTGTACGTGCACGCACTCGCACGACACACATACAGAGGGACATGTACATAGCTCCCCTCTGGGCCAGGAATCTACTGGTTCTGTCCTGGGTTTCTTTATTAGGAGGTATTTCAGGTGGCTCCATCCATCCCACTGCCCGTGGTGCAGTCTTGGAGTCTGTGTGCTTGGAAGGCTGCAGTGTTGAAGGCCCAGTTCCTGCCGCCCAGAGGATAAAGTCCATAAACAGGGAGCAGAGGGCCAGGGCGGGAAGAGCGTGAACACCTCTGAGGAGGAACCAGGGAGCTTGGGGGAGGGGCAGGGGGAGAGGAATGATAAAAATCCATTCAGTGCTCAGGGACCAGGGGCTCAGAAAGGGCACTGTCACAGGCCGTCCTTTGGTGGAGAGCCCTGGGGTGGGTCACAGCAGGAGTCTCCAGCCCCTCCTCAATCAGACGCCTCCTCTCCAGCGTCCCCCACCCCCATCACAGCCAGGACAAAGGGGCTATAGAAGGACTGAGACGGGGCCGGATGCCCAGAGACGGCAGGGACCCAGATAAGGGGTAAAAACACCCAACCGTGCCTGCCCCCTGGCTCCCTCGGGGAAGGTGGCCAGGGTCTTAGACTCCCGGGTTCCTGGTTGAAGATGCCGAGGACCTGGAGGGGACAGGGACAGTCACTGTACTCTGTCCCTCCTACCCTAGTCCCCAGGTCCCCCGCCCTCCACCACCAGCTGGGAGTGTTCTGCATCTCAAGATCCCAGGGTCTAAATTTAGGCCCAGCAACTGTGGGAGAAGCACAGGTGTTTCCTCCCACTCCCACTCTGGGGTAGGGGCCCTGGGTGGGTCAGACCCCAAGCTGGGATCTAGGGGGAGGGGAGATCAACAGGATTCCTCCAAGGCCAGCAGCACCAGCACCCCTCAGGTGTCCGAGGTCCCAGGGATACCCAAAGGGGTGGGCTCAGATGGCATGGGAGTGGGAGGAGGAACAGAGGAGCAATCTGACTCCTGGAGACAGAGACAGTAAACAGAATGGGGGTGAGGGAGAAGCTGAGTCTAGGAAGGACTCCCCGGGACATGAGGCTCTGAAGGTGGGAGCGACGCCCTGTTAGCCCTCCGGCTGCGGGGAGAAAAGACAAGCAGTGATAAATACAGGCCAGACGTCCCTGACCCTACAGCTCCTGGCTCTGGGCCTTGTACATAATAGATGCTCAATAAATTTTAATTGATTTGATCTGGGTCTTGACAAAGAGAGGCTGGTGGGTGAAGTTGGGGACCAGCCAGCTTTATAATTTCTAGGGAAAGAAGACGGTCAACCTGTGCAGGGCCTCTCCCGTGAGGTCACCTGGACTTAGCTCCCTGGTTCATCCCATCCCAGGGCGGGCTCCCTCACGGAAGAGGAGGTGCCGCTCTTGTTTTCCCAACACTGGAGAACAACAACCCCCCCACAACCCCTCCACAGCTCCGCCCTGTCGGCAAAACAACAAAACTGGAGGTTGATGAAAACCTGGGGGTGGGGGCAGGAGGTCGGGGAGCAAACAGACCCCACCTTTCTCCAAAATCACCACCTCCAACCACCTCACGTTTACAAGAACGAGGGTCTCGGCGCCCCTCCCCGCAGGGCCCCCCAGAAGGGTGCACTGTTTCGGCATCAGCCCTGTGCTAAGGAACAGATTAAGGAGTCGGCGACGCGCTGGGGAGGTGGTGGCCGCGCGGGTGGTGCAGGAACGCGCCCCCGCAAGACCATCCGGTAACCGAGCTTGGTCGATCCCCTTCCCAGTGGCCCCAGGGGCCCCCAGGGCCAGCCCCCCCCCACCCCCCCGGCCTCGCTGCCCTAGGACTCGGCGCACTGGGTCGGGGGCCCCAGGGTCCGAGCCTTCGGATGCTCCCGCGCCGCTTACCTGACTGCGAGTTGCCCACCTCGGAGCCCCGGGCCAGGCTGAGGAGGAAGCCCAGCACCTGCAGAGCCCGCTGCGCCCTCATGACTCCGCGCGCAGGGGGCGCGCAGCGCAGCCGAGTCGGCCCGGGCGCCCCGGGACTAAGACATCGAAACCAGCCACCTGAGTTCCCGGCGGGCTGGCAGCGGCGGCAGAGGAGTTGCAAAGTGCAACCGGAGCCGGAGCCAGAGTCCGGGGCGGGATGGCAGGGGAGGGGTGTGTGTCTGCGAGGGAAGGAGGGAGCGCAGGGGGAGGGGGTGAGTCACGGCCGCGCCCCCGCGGGCGCGAGGCTGGAGCGAGGGCTGCGGGAGCCTCGCCCGCCGCCTGCGCCCCGCGCCCCCTGCCTCGCGGCTGGGCCAAACGGGTCGAGGAGGGTCTCGTCCCGAATGGTCCTTCGGGAGTAGGACTCAAGAGGGGTCAAGATTCCCAACACCCCCAAATGCCTGCTGAGGGTAAGGTAATGGGGTGGAGAGAGTGCGCCAAAGCCCGGCCCCTGAAAGTTGGCCGCGCCCATTAACCAAATCACTCAACTCCCCTAGCCGGTTGGGTCACTTGGGGATGTTTCTCTCGGAAATGTGAATGTTCCTCTCTGTATTTGGGGGGGTGTTTCCTCGTGCTCAGGTCGCCTCCGTTTCCTCGGAGACCCCTCGAAACCCCATCATTCATCCACCCTGCTGAGGAACCCGAGCCCCAAGGCCGCGTGAAATTGCACTGTCTCCGGCCGCTTCCTCCTCCAGACCCGGCGCCGGCCGGGCCTCTCCCGGGGATTTGGCTGGGGGGCGGGGGTGGTTTCCAGCCTGGGAACAGCCCCGAAGTCCGCCTTCCCACTTCCACCCCGGGGGGGCTCCCGCACCTGTCGCCGTCCCCTCTGCTGCCCCCCACGGCCGCCTGGGAGAACAGCTGCTTCCCCTTCCACACGAGCCGGAGCGCGCCGTCGGGGCGCCTGGAGCTCTGCTGCTCTGCGGGGACGGAGGTGGGCACACTGTCCCCACCAGGTGCGCGCACCTCCGCGGGCGCCTTCCAGGCCGGGGCTGGCGCGGGAAAGGGAGAGGAGGGGCGGGGAAGGGGGGCGTGGAGAGGGCACTGGACACTGCGGCCCCGGATGGCCGGGGTCCCCGGCAACTCCAGCACCTCCAGCACCACCCTGCATCCTGGCCGGAGGCGGTCGGGTGCCCGGCGAGCGGCTGCCCAAAGTGCGGCCAGCCCCTGCAGGGGTCCGCGGGTCGCCCCCTGGTGCCAACCCGCTGCAGTGAAGCCCCACAATTGGTATTCCGGGGCTCCCCCAGGGGACCTAATTATTCTCTCCAGAGTTTCAAGCCTGAAGACGTCAAGAACAGTTGAGCTCTAGCCGGTTTGGCTCAGTGGATAGAGCGACGGCCTGTGGACTGAGGGCTCCCAGGTTGGATTCCGGTCAAGGGCACATGCCCGGGTTGCTGGCTCAGTCCCCAATGGGGGGCGTGCAGGAGGCAGTCGATTAGTGATTGTCTCTCATCATTGATGTTTCTCTCTCTCCCTCTCCCTTCCTCTCTGAAATCAATAAAAATATATTAAAAATAAAAAATAACAGTTGAGCTTTAGTGAAGAAAAATTTTGCCGGTAGCTAAGATTCTTGAAACTTACTGTGTATTACCAGGGCCTGCTCTCTGCTGAAGGCTTACCTTTGCTCTAGGGCGTTGGCCTGTTCCTGACTACCTGCATAACAATCCTAATACGGCAATAACAACATCAGTGAAACATTAACATATGCATGTACAACCACTGCATTTGCAAGCGTTTCCTACAACTTAGAGAATGCTCCACTTAACATAAAAATGTGTGCTAGCCAGACATCTGTCCACAGTTTATGGAGCTGCAAAGGTGTGACTCCCCAAGGTCACCCACCTGGTGACAGGGTGGATGAGGAGGAGGGGTGGGTTTTTGCCCAGGATTTCTTTGTGTCACACTGAGACCGGAGCTTCGTCTGCTCAGAATCAAACCCCCATCAGATAACTGAACTAAGTGCCAGGTTAAGGAGCCTTTCATTTTATTACTCACCCACCTCAACCTAGTGTTCAAGGCCCTGATTCCGAAGGAGGAAACCCCTTTTAGTTTGTTGTTTATAAAACAGTTGTATCTATCTATTAAGGTTGTTGTTTAGATTTAATGAGAAAAGGCAGGTAGAGCTCTTAATTACTGTGCTATGCTGGATCTTTAGAAGCATTCAATGAATGCTTGCTGTATTTAGTCCTACTATCACCAACCTCTCCCTTCTCCCCTCCCCAACTAGATCCCACTGATGCGTTTGCTGGTGTGGACGAAAGGAGCCACATGCTAACCTGACAAGCTCAGGGGAGGCCTGCGTGGCAGTCTTGCAAACTCAGAGACCTAAAGTAACCACAAAGGATGGTCTGAAAATTAAATATTTAACTACAAACAGGTTATAGTGGGTAGTCATGTCCTAAGCCGATATCTTCATTGACAAGGTCAACCTTTACCTTAACTGAGCCTATCTGTCTTTTTGCATCTATGATAACACACCCTTGAAATGTTTGGGTAACTTGTGACTTACCCGTATCTGGAGCCCCTGGGGCACAACCAAATGTGCTGGGCCCCAGGACAGATACCACAAATTCCTTCATCATCATGTTAATTGTTCCTGCACCCACCTAAGTATGTGTCCATCATTTTACTTTTTATCCAATCCCAGGGGTTTCCCTGCTTTGCTTATCCCTCCTCCTTAATCTATCACCAATGAATTTCATGTAACCCACCTATGTTCCTCCTTTGATTGCAATGTATAAATGCAGATGTAACCCCACCATTCTCCGGAGCATTATCTCAATTCGTTGAGGTTCTGCTTCCCTGCATATGTCGACAGTTTGGCTCAAATAAACTCACACTGGTATCCATTCTTCAATACATAGAGAAGCATCCAGCTAAGAGCACCAGGGATATAACCCGGATAAAGCTGACCAGTAAGGGTGCTACCCTGACTACATAACTAAAGGAAGGCTTTGTTCACAAAAGCTCTCTGTACTTATCCAGCACCCTTTACTTTTCCTTACTTTCTTTTTAAATATATTTTCATTGATTTCAGAGAGGAAGGGAGAGGGAGAGAGATGGAAACATCAATGATGTGAGAGAATCATCGATCTGCTGCCTCCGGCACGCCCCACACTGGGGATCGAGCCAGCAACCAGGCATGTGCCCTGACCAGGAATCCAACCATGACCTCCTGTTCATAGATTGATTGATGCTCAACCACTAAGCCATGCCAGCCAGGCTACTTTTCCTTACTCTTTTTTTTTCCTAATTGATTTCAGAGCAGAAGAGAAGGAAACATCAATGATGAGAAAGTACCATTGATTAGTTGCCTCCTGCACGCCCACAATGGGGAATCTAGCCCACAACAGGGGCATATGATTGGGAATCGAACTGTGAACTCCTGGTTCATAGGTCGTCACTCAACCACTGAGCCACGCCAATCGGGCATTACTCTTAATTGATGACTTTGGTTCTAATTTTACTGTGAAAATTAAAAGTAACCAGAAGAAAACATCCTATCTTTCTACCACCAATCTGGCCAATTTTCCTCCATCCTGACTTCCATCTTGTTACAATGAATTGTCCTTGCTGCTATTAGACCAACTCTCACTCCCTTCCCACCTCTCACCCCACCCTCCAGTTCTACACCTCAGCCCATCCCTAGCCTTTCTCCTGTACTGTTCTCCTATATTATTCCCCTGTTCCTATATTATCCAATTTTCTCTGTACTGGATCGTTCCCATTAGCATACAAATGAGCTGTAATATCTGCCATTAAAAAATACAATAAAACAAGTAAACTTTCTTTGACCCCTTGGGCTTCTAGTCCTGTGCTCCTAACTGCGGCAAGATATTCTGTCTTGTGGATTCCTACTCTGATTGCCTCTAGTTTCTGGCTACCACATCGATGTCGCAAGAGCAATAAAATGCCTTTGTACTTGTCTCCTTTGGTTCTGTGATAACTTCTTGTGCATATTGAGCTGCACACTCTGGAATATCACACCATCAGCCGTGGGGTTTCTGTATCCCAACTTCCTCACCAATACTTGACATTATTCAAGTTTCCTTTTTTTTTTCATTTGCCATGAATTAAAAATATTTCAATGCATTCCCTTTTCCATTCCTTTTTTTTAAAGTTATTATCTGGAAACTAATCACATGAAACTACAGAATTTTTGAGAGAGAGAGAGAGAGAGAGAGAGAGAGAAACATCGATAGATAAGTTGTTCCACTTAATTATGCATTCATTGGTAAGTTCTTTTTTTAATATATTTTTTATTGATTTCAGAGAGGAAGGGAAAGGGAGAGACAGATAGAAACATCAATGATGAGAGAGAATCATTGATTGGTTGCCTCCTGCATGCCCCCCACACTGGGGATTGAGCCCACAACCTGGGCGTGTGCCCTTCACCAGAATCGAACCTGAGACCCTTCAGTCTGCAGGCCTGTCCACTGAGCCAAACCGGCTAGGACGATTGGTAGGTTCTTGTATGTGCCCTGATTGAGGATCAAACCAGCAACATTGGCATATGGGGATGGTGCTCTAACCAACTGAGCTACCCGGCCAGGGCAAATTTTTTCTTGAGCCATTTTGCTGTCTATATTTTCCCAGAAATCTATTTCATCTAGGTTTATAAATTCATTAGTGCATGGTTATTAATAAATACTGTTATTTTATTTATTTAATTTTTAAAAATATATTTTTATTGATTTCAGAGAGAAAGGGAGAGAGAGAGAGAGATAGAAACATCAATGATGAGAGAGAATCATTGTTTGGCTGCCTCCTGCATGCTCCCCACTGGGGATCAAGCCAGCAACCCGGGCATGTGCCCTTGACCTGAATCAAATCTGGGACCCTTCAGTCCCCAGGCTGATGCTCTATCCACTGAACCAAACTGGCTAGGGCTACTGCTATTTTTTTAAAAAATCTGTTGTGGCCCTGACTGGTGTGGTTCAGTTTGTTGAGTGTCATCCTGTGCACCAAAAGTTTGCCGGTTCAATTCCCCATCAGGCACATTCCCATGTTGCAGGCACAGCCCCTGGTTGGGGTGTGTATGGGAAGCAACCAATCAATGTTTCTCACATCAATGTTTTTCTCTCTCTCTCTCCCTCTCCCTCCCTCTCTCTCTCTCTAAAGTCAATAAAAACATATTTTTAAAAATCTGTTTTGCCCTGACCGGTTTGGCTCAGTGGATGTTTCTAACTCTCTATCTCTCTCCCTTCCTCTCTGTAAAAATCAATAAAATATATTTTTAAAAAAAATCCCACTCTTTGGTGAGCGAGTATTTTACCAAGGTGTCTGACGTACTTATACTTCCTGCTCAACCAGTCCAATTTGCATAATGTTATAATATAGCAGGTCAATGTAGAATGATTTTTTTTTTTTTTTAGAATGATGTTTTGAGAGAAGTCCAGCTACTCAGGTATTTCCAAACTATTTTATGACAGAGGTCAAGAGAGTTCACATAGCCCTGGGCAAGGCTGGACCTGGTTGTCTTTTCCAAGTGAATGTGACTGTTTCTGTTCCCCGCTCTGATAAGGGTGGAAAAGAATGCACTTGCCAAAACCAAAGTTGCACACCCTGTATCTGCTAATCTGCTGATGGTACCACATGTGGCCAAGCAGCTGCGATTGGGAGAACTTCGTTGAGTATGAAGTCATTTACTGTCATTGCCAGGATCGGTCGGGTTCTGCAGGAACCAGATTGGTGAATTAAATAAAGTTATGATGGGGACTCCTGCCTTTGCATTCTTTTTATTTTTACTTATTTTTTAAATTTTTATATATTGATTGATTTGTTGTTCTACTTATTCATGCATTTCTTGGTTGATTCCTGTATGTGCCCTGACTGGGGATCGAACCCAAAACCTTAGCATATCAGGATGATGCTCTAACCAACTGAGCTACTCGGCCAGAGCACATTCTTTGAAATTATTATTATTATTATTATTATTATACAGTCCACAGGTCTGAAATGACTTTTTATACCTAGCATGCCATGAATTCACAGGGAATGGATTCCAGCAGCCCAGCCTCCTTCCCTTTGGTTCTCATAAAGTGTGCTTCTCTGGCTCCTCAGTTGAACCCAAGTACCTTTACCTTCGGTTCCCTTCTTTTTCTAACCATTTTACTTTACATGTTTCAGGAAGCTATCTCAGCTCTTAAGAGTGCTTAGTTGAACAACAAATACATATCTATCAACAAGTGAATCTAAAAATCAAATGAATAAATAATCTGATGAACAGTATGAACTGGTGATTGTAATAGAATCAGGGACATAGAATGGGAATGGACTGACTATTCTACTATTCTGGGGGGGGGAAGGGATGTGGGGGGTGAGGGAAGAGACTGGACAATAATCGTGCACCTATGGATGAGGACAGTGGGTGGGGAGTGAGGGCGGTGGGTGGGGTGGGAACTGGGTGGAGGGGAGTTATGG